GGTTATACGCCCACAAACCCCCGGCCACAACATGGGGGTGGGGGAATTTTGGGGAGCTGAAATTCTGGAAGTTGAAATTCTGGGAGTTGAAATTCACCCATCTTAAAGTTGCCGAGGTTCAGGAACCCTGCCTTAGAACCTCAAAGCTGCCTGGATCCCACTGGCCTCTTTTATTCGCCTTTAACTTCTCTCCCATCTTTTGCCCTGAGCTATAAGGGCTCCCTCTGTGATCTGTGCCAAATGCGATTTGCGCTCACGTTCTTTGACCTCTCTCTCTTTTTCATACAGAAACAGAAATAAACCTCATTCATTCACTCACTCGCTCATAATCCCGTTTTCTAAATCTACATTAATTGCTCAGACGTGAATTCTCCTCGAGATACATCTGAAATAGAATAGGGGGATATAAGGAAGGATAGGCCCTGCCGGGGGCAGGTTTTCCACACTCCCAACCATCATCCACAACCCCTCTTTCCTATTCCGCTCTTACTTGGGTGGCAAGATCTCATCAGTGAGGATTGGGCAAGCCTCTGAATCACTACCCAAGAAGGCAAACGGCCCTCCCAACTCAGCTGTTCAGCTGGCATGCCCAGTTAGCTCCTCCACATTGGAACAGCTGTTCCAGCGTGATCCTGGGGAAAGGTATCAGCCAGGTAGCTGAACGTAAAGATAGACAGCAAAACTCGCGTCTCATGAAAGCAGCCAAGTCAGAGGGCTCGTTCCCCAGACCTATTTGAGCTTCCAGAAGGGCGGTGGGCCAGGGCAGCAGACGGCCCTTCCCAAAGCAAGCTCGGCAGAGTCACTGATGACTAGAAAAGCACTGGGGAAATGGATTTCCTAGGAAGTTGGAGCCCGGCTTGCTGAGAGCGGAGGATGAAGGACAAGGTCCTCAGATTCAGGCTGCTGTTAATATAAAGATGTCACAAAAGGGGCCCCAGTTTTCGAGACCGGCGTGTGATCTCAGCTGTGTAATTCATCCAAGTTCATCCCATCCCAGATCCTAAAACTCAGCTGCTTTAAGCCTTTGCTCCATTCTGGGGTTCAGTATACCCTCTGGATAAACCGACACCCCGAGCGTCAGGCTGGGAAAGGCAGATTCAGCTGTACCTGTCTTGTAGCATGCCGGACAACTCCCCTGTTCTCATTTTGCATGGAGGCAGTAACAGCTGGCCTCTTGTTTTTAAATGCTGCGTTGCAGTCGCCCTGGATCTGACTATTCTGGCCCTCACCCCAGCTATGCGAGGGTCTTAAGCCAGAGCGAGCTCTGCAAACTTCTCAGAAGAAAGAATGTCTCTCCTCCCAGGGGGCCAGAGGCAATCTGAGAAAAAGGGTGGAATGAGGTCTTTCACGACGCCCGACTCCAGCTCATTTTTAAAGCTCATTTTTAAAGCCTCTCTCCGTTTTTCCTCCTGCGCCTGGTCAACCCACTCCGGCACGGGAAGGCAGGCGGCAAGAAAACAGCCTTTCAGGGGGTGTACAGGACGCACCATAATGGATGGCTGCGCGTTTAAGCTTGGGGAGAGGGCTTTGGGTCAAAAGCTGTAGGTGAAGTCCAGATGGTGGACTGTTTTGATGGATGCTTAGCCCAGTAAATTGAGGGGCATTCACACATTCAGTCGGCTCCCCTTGAAATACTCCATACGGGCAGCCGTGGCCGAGCTCACGGTGCCGTGGGGATCTCAGCCCCATGCAGAAGGGGACCCAGCCTTCTCCTTAGCATAACCCGTGCCTGTTCTCCTGCTGTACCAAAGCCTTCAGGACTCGGGGCTTTGTGCCAGCAACCATGACTGCCCCGCGCCCTGTCTTGGCTCAGAAAAGTCGCCCGGCCCGCAGCCAAATCTAGCTGCATAGAAGCGCAGAGATTTAACTCTCGCGATGCTCGGAGATGTTCAGGGTGGGGAGCCAGAGAAGTTGCTAACCAGCAGCTCACTCAGGCTGAACAGACAGCGGTAGATGAATCCGAGGGGATTGAGCTGTTGGTTTGGAAGAGGCACCAAATCACCAGTCTCCCAGTTCTTGAAACAGCTCTTCCTGAAGCAAAAACCTCTTTTCGACAACATCCCCAAATCCAAATGTTTATCACTGGCCCTATTCCGACTTACAGGGACTCACCTGTCTCAGACAGCCCTAGGCTTTTCCACCACTTGTGAGAAACCAAAGACCACCGAGATGGGATCTACAACTTCATTCAGATATTGCTTGTCAGAAGCATGACTACAGGGTCTTCTCTCAGAAGGCCCCCCCCAAAGCAGCCATTTCACTAGGCTACAGCCAGGGGATTTAGGGAGCAGGGGTTCCCCATCAACGATGACGAAAAGCCAGCTTCAACAGGACGAGCCACTTTGGCTGTTTTAATCTGGTTCCTGCGAGCACCGTTTTCCGCTTTAAGAACTGATGCCCAAAGCTGGGGTCTTCCTTCCCTTTCTGTTTTCCTTCTTCCCGGTCTGTTCAAGCCCGAAAGGAAATAATAATATCTGAGCTTAATCAGATATTCCGGGAGACTTTTTTCTTTACAGCGTCATAGGCAAAAGAGGCTTCCCATAAAATAAAAAGGGTGGTTTCCAACATTTCTGATGCAGATCCTGGTTTGGGGTTTTGGGACTGGCTGATACGCTCGTGCAACGTTTGCCTCGCTCAACTTTTGGTGCCCTTCTTTCTTCCCACAGCGGTTTGCTTCCATCCCACGCTACGTGGAAACCCTGGTGGTGGCTGATGAAGAGATGATGCGGTTTCACGGGGCGGGCCTCAAACCATACCTGCTGACCATCATGGCGGCTGCCGCCAAGTTCTTCCGCCACCCGAGCCTCAAGAATCCCATCAACTTGGTGGTGACCAGGCTGGTGGTGATTGGGGAAGCCAAGGACGGGCTGCGGGTCACCTCCAACGCCGCCGAGACCCTGCGCAACTTCTGCACTTGGCAGAAGGGCCTCAACAAAGCCAGCGACAAAGACCCGGAGCATTTCGACACGGCCATTCTCTTCACCAGACAGGTGAGGGGGCTGTTCCAAGACACCCATCCCACCTTCGTTGGGTAAAACTGGCCCCAGTCTTTCGGGGCCAGTGGAAACGTTTGGGACTTTAAGAGCATCTGGCGTGCACTTTCACAAAATGGTCCAGCAGTGGGTGTGGCCAGATACCAAAGGTTGATTTCCTAGAAGGAAATTGGCAGGCGGCTTCCCGAAGCTCCCACTAGGACACTATTCTGGCAACCTTAAGACATGTGGACGTCAACTCCCAGCATGCTGGCTGGGGAATTGTGGGAGTTGATGTCCACCCATCTTCAAGGTGAGAAACCCTGCTCTAGGATATTCTCTACCAATTTATCTGCCTTTTTAAAAATAAAAATGGACACTTCCAAATGCTCTGCCCGCCAGTTTCAATTTCTTAGAATTCCTACGAAGCTCGTGTAGATGCTAGAAGGCACCTTTGGAAATAGAAGTTACGTGGCTGGGGCTTGAAAAGAATGTTGGCTTCCCACATCACTCTTTTTCATGAAATGCAGTTTTTTGCTTGAGCTGACCGGAAGCCTGCTAACCCAGTGTACCATGTCAGGAACTGAGCCTCATCCCTGGAGGGGTGGGAGAACGATCTTTACAACATATGCTTCTCTCTTTGCTTGGTAGGACCTCTGCGGGCGCTCCAGCTGTGGTACCCTGGGCATGGCAGATGTTGGCACAGTCTGTGACCCAGCCCGTAGTTGTTCCATTGTCGAGGACGACGGGCTCCAGTCGGCCTTCACCGCAGCCCACGAACTGGGTAAGTGGGATCGGATCTGGTCCTTCCAACAGATACCTCTATCTGAATAAACTAAGTTAAATCAGTCTGGCCTTTTTCTGGGCAATACTCTAGAAAATCAGGATAAATTTGACATAATGACAGAGAGAGAAAGAGAGAGAACACGCACGGGCTACTGAATGTCTGCTATAATCAACGCTTGGATAATAATTCAAATATTTCCACATACACGTTTCTGCTCGGCAAAGATTCCAGCTCTATCGTCTGTCCAGTATATTTACAGGACATTCCGAGTTTGGTTCCTGGGTTTATTCACATTTCATCTTTGTCAACCCATTCAAAAGGCTCAGGGAAGGTCCGCTAAAGGGACTGGAAACTTGAGTTGAAGAACAGAAAAGAAAAATGGTTGAGATTTGATATCCCAAGCTTCACATTGGTTGGCAGATTCAGCCCAGGCAGGGCAAATGTAGAACTAGGGAATCTTCACCACGGTCCTATCAAGAAGGGATCTGGAGGAAGTGGAACTAAGGTTATCTTCCTCCACTTGCAGGTCACGTCTTCAACATGTTGCATGATGATGACAAACATTGCAAAGAGCTTAACCGTCACAGCAACTCCCGTCACATGATGGCCTCCGTCATGTCTCCGGTGAATCCTGATGAGATGTGGTCGCCATGTAGCGGTCGCTTCATTACCGATTTCTTGGACAACGGTCATGGTATGATTCTGTCTCTCTTTTCATTCATGTAAGACAGTGTTTCTCAACCTTGGGAACTTTAAGATGGGTGGGGAATTCTGGGAGTTGAAGTCCACCCATCTTAAAGTCCCCAAGGTTGAGAAACACTGATATAAGATCTTAGCCAATGGTTCTCTTGAACCAACATAGTCCTTTATGGTAGGATTTATTTTTTAAAAGCACTTTCAGAAAGTTCAAGGAACAAATGCTCAATGTATTTCCATGCCTTTGGGTGTTGTTCCTTCAATCATAGAGAAGCAAAGATGAAAATGTGGAGGTGTCCTGAGACAGGAGGTTAAAATGCTCATTTGGGGAGCAGGTTGTAGAGTGGCCAAGACATATTTCTGAATAATTTACAGCAGAAAAAGAGCTAAATTTGAAGAATGAATTTCCCATAGCCAGGCCATCTCTCCAGTTACTGAGGCTCAGCAAAACTAAGACTCCGTTCCTCTTCCCCCCCTTCAGGTGCCTGCCTCCTAGACAAGCCACACGAACCTCTGAAACTGCCCGCCGTCTTCCCTGGCAGCAATTACAACGTGGACCAGCAATGCCAGCTTAGCTTTGGCACCGAATCCCGCCACTGTCCCAACATGCAGCCCCCGTGCTCTTCGCTATGGTGCACGGGCCAGATCAACGGGCAATTCATGTGCCAGACCAAATACTTTCCCTGGGCAGACGGAACGCCGTGCGGGGAAGGGAAGAGTTGTATGAGCGGCGAGTGCATCAGCCACACGGAGCTGAAGGAGTACAATGTAAGTTGTTCCAACGGCGGCTCCATTCTGGGGCAGAGTTGGCCTACGAGCTGGTCCATTAGGGGCCAGAGAATTGGAGGGGGGACAGATGTGGCCCCTTAGGGGGCCCCCCACCGAAGGGGGACAGGCCCAAAAAAAAAAC